CTGCTGGCCGGACGTGTATATTGGATAGGCAAACATATTGGCGTTGTTAGCGCCGGCATTGAGATTGGCGACGGCTGCTGCCGCAGCAGCACCGTGTCGGTCGTGGTGGTCCTGCGAGCCCTCGTAGCCGGAGAAAGGCTGAGCCGCTGACGGGCTGTGTGGGTAGAGTTGGGGATGCGAGAGTTGTGGTGCTGACATGTACCCTTGGTGATCCTTGCCATCCACCATCGCGTTCGCGGCGTTTGCGTGCTGCTGAGCTGCTTGCAAGAATGATGGATCCATGAGCTGCGAGTGCGCTGTAACTGGGGTGATGAGACCGTTGACCTGTTGGTAAGAGTTGGGTGCTGCGCCATATCCACTGGCCGCGGCTGCCGCTGCTGCAACAGAGGCAGCGGCAGCTTGCTGCTTTTGGTACGAGAGGTTGGTGCCATCGGGCATAGCCCACGGTTGCGACGATGTATACGCATTGTTGCCCAGATTGCCCGCCGAGTGAGGCCGTTGTGCTTCGATGGTGTTCTCGATTGGGCCTAGAGTGGTGCGTGTGGCGAGTGTCGGGCGTTTGACGGGACGTGAGGTGCCGAAAGCCGCCGACGCTGATGCGGTGCGACTAAGGCCGACGGATGATGGTAGTGGTCGCTTCTTGCTGGCAATCAGGCGAGCACCCGGAACGCCATCGTCATTGTCGTCGCCAGGTGAATTGGAGCGGGCGGCATCTGAGTCGACGGCTTGATCGTCGTCGTTCCAACCTTGGGAAGTGCTGACACCAACAGTGATGGAAGTGTCCATGTCGAGATTTTCTTCGCGCATGCGCTCTTCCTCTCTCGCGATGCGGTAGACATCCATGAGGAGACTGACTCTGTCCGCTCGGATCAGAGCGACGACTTCGGCAGTTGCGAGCTGTAGACGGGCGACCTTGATCTTGGGGCTGCGAAGAATGGTGAGCAAAAGCAGATGTCTTTCAGGCTTCATCAGGTGATCGGGTTCTTTGTGTCGGACACCCTCTGGCCACCAGGTTGGCTTGCCTTCTTCGCCTTTGTTGTAAGGACAGCGAGTCTGCTTCTTGGGTTCGATGATCTTGATCCAGGCTTTTGCGACGGTCTTGCACATGCCTTGCTGGAGCTGGCTGAATCTCAACTCGAGGAATGCGGTTCGAGCAGCAGCGTTCTCGAGGCGAACATTGACCAGGGCCTGGCTTGAAGCGGACGATGGCAGGCGAGATGACGTGGTTCGCAGAGGTAGCCGCGGTGTAGATGATTGAGGCCCGTCTTCGTGAGAGAGCAACGGTGCAGAATGCGGAACTTCGAGCTTGAAGGCGTCGCGTCCACCGTTGAGCGATCTAACGAAAGCGTCGTTGGCGCCAGCAGTGTCCAAGGGGGCAACGTGCTTGCGCTTAAGAGAAAGCGATCCGCTAGCGGCCGTGTTGCTTCTTCCGAGGGTTGGTCGGAGATCGATCCTGTCCTGAAAGGCTGCCATAGAGGAGGAGGGACCGTCAAGGAAGACGTCCGTCATGTCTGACTGTTGGTGACGCAGTGGACTTGGATCCTCTACATCGTCTGCGTCGCTCTGGTCGGAGGCATCGTCGTCGCCGGCGTTGCTACCGTTGCCATCTTGCTCAAAAGGGTTGGAACGCGGGGCATCCTTGCTACCCATGACGAGAGACTTGCCTTCTTCAGCGATGCCGCTTTGAATGAACCAATCGTCCAATCGATTCTGGAGAGCTTCGCTTGCGTACGTTTCGACGTCTCCGCGGGCCGAGACCCACATGATGGCAAAGTGACTGCCGTTGATGTAAGCCGCTTTGCCGAGTGCGCGGAGAACTTGATCGCGCTTGTTCTTGAAGTGACGATGTTGCCTCGACGGTGAGGTGTATGGCTCGACGCGCACTGGAATGCGCGGCATGATGACGGAATCAAATGTGGAGTAGGGTCAAGACGAATGTTGCATCGATCGCAAAGACGATGAGACGAGGGTGTCACGTGGTAGTAGGTAGGCGATGACAAGGCCCACGTCTTGGTCGAGAAGGATATGCAGACTGGTGAAATGATGTACGGTGGCTGGTGTGAGCGATGGATGGTAGAAGAAGATGGAGATGAGATGGGATGAGATGGAGGGAGCACACAGTATGGGATGAAGATGGGAAGAGGTGGTTCGAGATTCGAGATGGGTCAGCTTTTGAGCATAGTCGCTCTGACTTTTGCCGTCCGTTGGGAACCGTTGTGGCTGACCGTCGATTAGCGGCCTGGTGGCTCGAAGCGCTGACTCGCAGTGTACGTGTGAAGCAAAGCTCATGGAGCTGGCCTTCATCCATTTGGATTTTGGCAACATGCCCCCGATCGCCCTGAGGCATTGTGCATCGATCCAGTTGCGATCGAGGCTCGCGCTACGGTAGGCCATTCTCGGCTTACGTCTTGCGAGCAGACCGAGCTTGGGGGAGAAAATAGCAAACGGGCAAATGCCCGAGCTCTCTCCATCGTGTTGACAAGCTTCAGAGAGAAATGAGCGCCTCACAACACCGATGTGGCTGCTCGTGTCAGGGGCCTTGCGGTCTGAATGGGCCCTAAGTCTGGAGCTACAGGCGCTCGCAAAGTTCAAGCGACGACCAACGGCGAATCGTTGTGGAATGCGTGCGAGCATCGACGCTAAGAGGAATGTTGCCCGTGGCGCAGCCGCGCGAGAAATAAATCGTGCGTAGGTGCAGCGGGACACTCTGGCTGACCTTCGCTTCGACCATCCAGGCGGGCCAACCAGATCGGCGCGCAAAGCGAGCGCGACTCGAAGTCTTTGCGAGTGTTGTTCTGCCTCGCTTCTGCCGGAGTACCTCTGGAGTGTGAGCGATTCACGATTGTAACGAAGTGCAGGGAGAGTAGGCTGCTGTGAAGCTGGCTCCTCACAGTGCCTGGTGAGCGAGAAGCCTCTGGCAGCCACGCAGCATCCAGCAGGGCAACGGCAACGGCAACGGCAACGGCAACGGCAACGGCAACGGCAACGGCAACGGTCACACACCGAAGTGGCGCCAGCTTGTTTGCCATTGCTCGCGCAGAGCGTGTGAACCGGGGCGGACTTCGGAACATCAAATCTTATGAGAGCGTGCCAGCGCCAGCGCCAACGCCAGGAGCAGCAGCACCAGCAGCAGCAGCTTGCTTTCTCGCTATACAGCTCAGCTCCGCCTGGCGCGCGCCTCATGCTTGCGTTGGCTCGCAGGCCGCAGCCAGGGCAATCCCAGGGTCGAAGAGTGCCTTGTTGTGCCTTGCAAGCTTCAGCAAAACCTCGCGTGTGCATCCATGATGCATGATGCAGAATGACCTGCATGATCCGCCCGTGCCCCCCCCCC